GTTCAATTTTAATAGTATTAAACATGTATATAGTAGTTCCGTTTAATGTTTTTATTTTTATTTATGTTTATATTATGTAATATCATTTATATTATTTTGTATTCATACATTATTGCCTACATATGTTAATATAATAATAATTTCTCAAGGGATGGGCTCTATTTAAGTGATAGCCACTTTGCTAAGGAAAAGTTAAAGATAGAACTCGCATTTAGCATTAAAGTTCCCAATTGTATCGGATACTTTTCTCTCTGCAACATTTAAGTTAATCAAACTAAAATTGAAGAAATGAACAGGGACTCAGTCCAAAGTCTTAGTAAATTAAAACACGTAGGGTTGATGCCATATACGAGCATTTCCTTAAGGCTTCCTACTGGAGCTAATCGCAACCAGGCAGAATTCCATGGTTTATCACATTCTGGCTGCAGAGACAAATGACCTTCGTGCAGGTTATTGTTTGTGTTGCTTTTTTCCGGGAGAAAAACCACTTTTCCCACTCCCAGGCGCCAGGAAGTTGGGCGAGTACTTGAAGTGACTGTAGGAGACTGAAGTGAAAAAGAAACCAGCACAAGGTTGGTATTTCCGTGCCCAGTGGGGATCGGTAGAATATACTTTATTTGTGCCCACTTGCAGGCTCTGGTACATGCACCTTGTCCAAATATGTTACAGTTTTGGCCATCAAGAATGAGTACATTGACGTGCAGGCTCTCCAGCCCAAGTACAGTTTGCTACATCAACTCACACAGCAAAAGTTGGCAGACCCAGGTGACTATGTGTCTGCTCAGATATGCATGAGAGCCCATCAGCAAGGCTAGTCTAACATTAAGATGGACACAGTAGTTAGGCCTGTGGAAAGCTTGAGGATAAAAGTATGTGCTGATGTATGTATGGAAGTATTACTTGTAGTTGTATGAATCCACATTATTCTATTAAGTATAACTAGGTTCTAGTACACCGTTCATCACTTAGATAAGCATAACTTTGAGCCTTGGCAACCACTCGGGCTCGAATATCTATGCGTCTCTTACCATAAAAATGAAGGAAATTCTGTTGCTAAGGTTGTGTTTAAATTTATTTTTTGCATATGAGCGATTATTAAAATTTTTTAGATTTTATAATTACCGATGAGCTTACAACAAATCGTGCCCACAGAGATTAATTACAAAAAGAGGTTATGATCCGAGTTCTACTGCAGTTTCTACCTTGCCTCGTCTTATAAACAATAGTCCAAACGCTATGAAAAGCGGGAAAAACGGATTAAATAATGAAAATGTTAGTCCCAAGGCCTCCTGGCCTCTTTCGATTCATGGTTAAGTCAAAATCACTGAACAATTCAAGCCTCCTCTTCAATAAATGGCTAGGAGTGTCGTAATTAGTTAAATCAAAATACCAATAGAAACTAGTAAACTCATACTCCGACAGTTATTTTATTTAACCCTCATAAGTAGTTCTGCCATTCATTCTAAGCCAAAGTATTTATGCAAAATTTTGCGGAGGACATCGACAAATACGAGGATCAAGGTGGGAAAATATGTGCTGCATATGTTTCTATAGACATTCCTAGATGTAGAAAGTTTGATCAGTAGTTAGTAAGTAAGCTTCGTAGGGTTGTAAGAGATTGTTTGGCTCTGTTTTCGCATCTTGGAAGACTTCGAGAAACGCAGCTTGCACGATACTTTCCATGATCGGACCGTGCACTTGGTACATTCATAGGGCTGATTACCTTATATATAAAGTAGCATTTTTACAATACCAAGCTTACCAACAATCTATTTCACATGGACCTATGAAAATTGTCTATCTGAATACGCATCTGCTTCAGATACCAACTGGCAAGTTTGCCGTTTCCGATAATATGTCAAGCAGAGATTCTGTTATTGCGCTAACCTAATAACCTCATGACCGCCGCCATTTGATATAGAATTCCACCGAAGATAACAGCCGAATCTTGACGAATCTACTTGTGTGATATATGAAATTTAATGTTATTCTATTAACCACATCACTTTTAT